TTTATTTGCTCTGTTTTATTTTGTGAAACCTTACTACATATATGGAATAACCGTTTTATAAAAGCAATAAGCGTTTTATAAAAGCTTTGCGTCGTACCTAACAACGGCCCTTAGCTGTTATAAATTCACTGTAAACCACGGCTTCTTGGCGCTTATTGCTTTAGTAAACTAGTAATACTACACATTCTCAACAGTTATGCTTTAAGCAGTGTATTAGTAGTTAGTTAGTATGCTACACTCCAAGAAGAGTCTGTAAAATTAGGGCACAATCTACTATGTTAATATGAAAATTTTCCGTATTGATTTTTTACCTGCATTTTAAATTACGCATTGTGTTTTCAGGTTACAGGGTTTTCTGAAGACAATCACCTATTGCACCTTTAATACTCGCTCATTACAGTAATATCTGACAGTGCACATGCTCTGTGTTTGGCGTCATCAGACAGACAGAGAGCCGCTGGCAGTAACCGAACCCTCGCAGCGCAGCGCTGGCAGGAATGCAGGACAGGCTGGCGTCGGTCTCGCACACGCGCACCAGACGCGATAACTAAACCTGAGCGCACAGATAAGAGCGACAGAGCTCATTACAGTCTCGCAGCGCTGCTTCCTCTCCTCCCACAGTCACATCTCTACTGCCAAAGCCCTTCCTGCTTTCCTTCATCACATCATTCCTCACAGATCATAAGCAGCACAGGTATATTTGTAGCAATAGCCAACAATACATTGTATGGGTCAAAATTATCCATTTTTCTTTTATGCCAAAAATCATTAGGATATTAAGTAAAGATCATGTTCCATGAAGATATTTTGTAAATTTCCTACCGTAAATGTATCAAAACTTAATTTTTGATTAGTAATATGCATTGCTAAGAACTTCATTTGGACAACTTTAAAGATGATTTTCTCAATATTTAGATTTTTTTGCACCCTCAGATTCCAGATTTTCAAATAGTTGCATCTCGGCCAAATATCGTCCTATCCTAACAAACCACACATCAATGGAAAGCTTATTTATTCTGCTTTCATATGATGCATAAATCTCAATTTCACAAAATTGACCCTTATGACTGGTTTTGTGCTCCAGGGTCACAATATGTCATGGTATGGTACTACAAGATACTTTCAAAACTGCAATGACACGCTTTGTGCTAAAAAACATATCATGTGTGTGTGTAATTTTTGCAAGAGAAAAAAACTACAGTACACAGCAAAACAATTTCTAACTGCCTTCAGTTTTTAAAGTATAATCAACCTGGTTGTACAAGTCATTTTAACTTGCAAATAAGATAAATTATATCAAAAGTGGCAAAAGTGCAAAAACATGGTATCACAATAGTAAATGTCCCAAAAAAATGGACTATGGACAAAAAAAAACAACTTGAATTTACAATAGTAGGTGTTGAAAAATCACGCTATTAACACAGTAAATGAAAATAGTTAAATACATCAATTATTTATAAATTATTTATAAAGATGTTTTTATAAATCTCCCCCCTATATAAATGTATAAATATTGAAATAATTAAAAATATATATTTAAATATCTAAATCTTTTTAATTATATATATATTTATATTTATATATTTATACATATATATATAATTTTTTTTTATTTTATTTTTTTTTATTAAACCTATCTACCTTGAACATATGCCATGGTAGCATCATGGTATTCTTTAAAGTATCTACAAGGACAATGCCAAATACTGTACGTAGTACATGCATATGGCAATTAATTAGAATATAAATATAGTGATCATCACAGTATTACCATGGGATACTGTACATCCCTGTACCGTGGTACACAGTATCTGTGTCTCCTCTCAGTAACACAGTAATCTGGCTCTAAACAGGAAGCATAATTAGAGTGAGAGTAACAGAGATCCGGTGACTGCTGCATTCATTCATTCATTCAAACTCTGTGTGTGATATTCATCTCTGACTGCAGGCTTCCTCTTTCCTCTGATAAAAGCCACGTCACACAAGAGCGTCCAGCAGGAATCCACAACAGAGCCATTACACACGAGTCTGACTGAAGCAGTCCACCTGCGTCCCGATCCGAAACCAGACTCACTGCTGCTAATGACGGACAAGCACTCACTCCAGCGCCATACACCAGGACAGGACGGATTAAACACAGGCCTCGTCTGATCTGAACCACAGCAGACAGAGAAATGAGCCGCATCACGGCTGTATTTCACATGTATTTCTAGATAGATAGATAGATAGATAGATAGACAAAATTACATATAATTTTTTTTTTCATTTAAATGCATATAAAAGTTTTTATAAAACTGAATACTTTTTGAAAATCTCTCTCTCTATACAAATATTATATAAATGCATATTATATGTGTGTGTCTGTAAATTATTTATGAGTTATGTTTTTATATATTTCATATATTAGATTTTATATTGTAAAACATTTCAAACTATATGATATATTATATATTACTAATGTAAAATAATATAGGCCTATTAATAAATACACACACACACACACATACAGTATATACTGTGTATAATATGTAAAATACTATACAGCATGAATATGTTTCTCAGTTAGAATACATGAATATGGTAATCACTGCAGTATTACCATCTGATACTGTACATCACTGTACTGCTGTACAGCCACAGTATCTGATGTCTAATGTTCCATAGTTCATATTCTGACCATGTCTGCATGAGCTCTTTTTCATCTGTTAAATCTGTGTTATGTTTCTGAAGTGTTCACAGTTAAATGTCAGAAACAGAAGGCTGAGTGGATGTGAAGATGGCAGGTCTGCTGTGATTGTGGTTTGTCTGATGAGACGTTTCTGAGAATAAGCTAAATATGGAGTGAAACGGCTTCAGCGCATCACACACGCATTTTACACTCCAAACCACAGCTAACGAATGCAAACTGATGCTGCCAGTCACACACTGCAACTGGATACCCTGCCACAGAGAGCCGCAGGGCACAAACACACACACACACACACACTTACACAAACACGCCGCACAAGACTGCGCACCTGTGTGTGTGTGTGTGTGTGTGCGTGCGTGTGCGTGTGTGAGTGTGTGTGTGTGAGTGTGAGAGCGTGAGTGTGAGAGTGTGTGTGTGTGTGTGTGAGCGTGCGTGTGAGTGAGTGTGTGTGCGTGAGTGTGAGAGTGTGTGTGTGTGTGTGTGAGCGTGCGTGTGAGTGAGTGTGTGTGCGTGAGTGTGAGAGTGTGTGTGTGTGTGTGTGTGCGCGTGTGTGTGAGCGTGTGTTTGCGTGTGTGCGCGTGTGTGCGAGTGCGTGCGTGTGCGTGTGTGTGTGCGTGTGTGTTTGTGTGAGTGTGTGTGCGTGAGTGTGAGAGTGTGTGTGTGTGTGTGTGTGTGTGAGAGTGTGCGTGTCGGGGTGTTTCTTCAACTCTATGTGCGGCTGCACTTAAAAGAAATGAAACACCCTCTTGAAATACACTTATAACACTTCATTTCCACCACATCTCCAACAATGAATTATACAGCTCATTTCAAATCGAGTATGTTATGCACCCTTAATACACACAATTAAATGCACGTTTCGCATAATTTGACAAAATCACAGCTTGAATGCAATTGTAACGTTAAAAATATGTTTATGGTTTTTTCCTTTTTGAGATAAATGATTTTTGTTTTCTTCACATCACATCTCATATTTCACTGACAAATTTAGTACACTAACTTTGGATAAAACTTTATTAACAGCAGAATTGTCGGTTGTAGTGGAAATGACTGTTGCTTATAAAAATTAAAAATAAAATAAACACCACAACTGAGGGACATTTGTTAAAAATTACATAAAATAAAATAAAACTAAATTAAAGTAAACACCACAAATAAGGGACAGTTGTTTAAATTAAATTAAAAATGTGTTATAAATGAGATAAAATAAAATAAAACTAAATTGAAGTAAACAAATAAGGGACAGTTGTTAAAATAAAATAAAATAAAATAAAATAAAATAAAATAAAATAAAATAAAATAAAATAAAATAAAATAAAATAAAATAAAATAAAATAAAATAAAATAAAATAAAATAAAATAAAATAAAATAAAATAAAATAAAATAAAATAAAATAAAATAAAATAAAATAAAATAAAATAAAAAAGTTGTTCTTCTAGACTCATTCTTCCCACTGGTCGCTCTTTTGCAACTAACTTTCTCAGTTGGTCGCACAAGCACATAATTTGGTCGCAATTTTTTTATTTTTTTTCTACAACATGGGATTAATCAATGCATGCTGATAAACTTTTATCATAGTCTATAGTTATATGGTAACCAAAGTGTTCAACTTTCAACCCGTTCTTTTTCAGTGTGTGTGTGTGAGAAAGAGAGAGAGAGAGAGTGTGTGTGTGTGTGTGTGTGTGTGTGACAGATTGTAAATGGCCATGTGTATGTGCTGGCGGTACAGAATAGACCCGGACCACCGGCGAGACCCGAGTGCTGTCAGAGTCTGAAGTCTGAAGCCTTAAAGGCATTCCACTCCCCGCTGCCATCTTCATGTTTACAGCGCCTTTGTTTAGCTTGAAAAGGTGCTGTGGGAGAGAACCGCAGCTTGAAAGAGGCTCCGAGGAGAAAAAGAACGAGTGAAGGAGGGGTAAACCTCAGTGCGCACACACACACTTGCCATATGTATGGGCTGTTTGTTCTGCCAATAGAAGCATCTGGGGCCATCGTGACCTTCAATTAGACTCGTGAAGGTGTGGAAACGGCCTGAGGTGAGAGCGAGAGACACACAGAGAGAGAGAGAGAGAGAGAAAGAGAGACAGAGAGAGAGAGAGACGGGCTGAGGTGACTCTGAGCTTGTCAAGATTTGCTCTTAATTGAGAATGCAGTGAGATATTTGAAGGTCGAGTGAGAAAAACCAGCCCAGCTGCTACCAACACGTGTTTTAGATTTGTGACTTTCACACACACACACACACACACACAAAATGTACCCATACCACCTCACTAGACACACTCTCATTTAGTAAAAGCCAACAAATCCGCTGGGAATCTACAGCTAGGAAACACTCTCGCACACTTTGCATAAGGACTTAAGGAAATATATGAAATATAAACCTGTCAAAAGTAGCAGAAACCATCCATCTGCTGTGTGAAAGTGCTGTATGATTAAAATAAAATAAAATAAAATAATTTATGCCACAACTGTGATACAGTGATAAATAAAATATATAATAAATATTACAAATAAAATATATAAAATGAATGAATGAATGAATCTGTCTGTCAGAAGCAGCAAAAATAAGCCGGCCTATCTGCTGTGTGGTTAATAAAATAATTAAATAACAGAAAATATAAACTAAAAATTATTTAGGCAACAGCTGTGGGTTAGTTATAATAAATAATGAAAACAAATAAATAAATAAAACCAAAAGCAGCAGAAACATTGATTCATATGTTGTGTTAGGGTGCTGTATGGTTAATTGCTGTGTGATAAAATAAAATGAAATGAAAGGAAAGGAAAGGAAAGGAAAGGAAAGGAAAGGAAAGGAAAGGAAAGGAAAGGAAAGGAAAGGAAAGGAAAAGAAAAGAAAATTAAATCAAATGAATTGATGCCACAACTAAATAAATACACAAAATCTAATGTAATTATAAAAAAGGAACATAAAATTGTCAGAAGCCAGTCCATCTGCTGTGTGAAGGTGCTGCATGGTGCCCTGTAATTGTGTGAACGCTGTGGTGAACACGCATCCATCAGCGCAGGAGTGACAGAGGAGAAACACCTCTCGTTCTCGACCTCTCTCATTTTGACAAGCTCGTTTGCAAAACACATCACCTTACAGGCAGGACTTCTCACAGCTCAGGGTCAAAGGTCACGACACTCACAGAAGGGTTCAATTAGCACACGCATATGATTTACATCAAAACTGACTCTATTTACTCTCCTAATTCACATTCCAGGTATTACTGAGCACGATTCATCGGTTATACTAACCAACTGTTGGTTCATACTTGGCAATAATATCACAGCCCACTTTTTATGATCCAATCAAATCTTGATTGAGAAAATAAAGTCCAGTCCTACGTAATTTCCCACCAAATATTCTCTTGCACTCATAAAAAAGGAAATCAAATATTAGAAATAATTATAAATAAGTAGTTTAATATAAGTAGCATTTATAAATAAATAAATAAACAAACATGCAAGTACATGATTGCAGGTCACTGTTTCATTCTATATATCAGAAGTCATTTAAAGGTACTGTATTGACACCGAGTGGTTGAACTAGGTATTGCAGTCCAAATTCAAAATATTGGAGAGGGTTTTGGGTTTGGATTGACACCGAGTGGTTGAACTAGGCATTGCAGTCCAAATTCAAAATATTGGAGTGGTTTTTTCACCTGGCCCCTCCTCCTCAGACTTGACGCACACACAGGTTGCCAGATGACGACACCAACAGGAACAAGTGCACTTGACGATGAATGAAATTAAATACGCTTTGTTTTTCGCCAACTGGCAACCCAGGCTGCAGAAATACAATTGGGTAAACTGGCAGTGGGCAGGTTTCACAAACCAAAACAGAGACTGACATTCCGGCCCGGAACGCACATTTTCAAAGGAGAATAACCGACTGTAGCGTTGTTTTTCAGATAAACAAATATGTTAAAGGGTTACTCCACCACAAAATGATGGAAAATGTTGTCATTAATCACTTACCCCCATGTTGTTCCAAACCCGTAAAAGCTTCGTTCGTCTTCGGAACACAATTTAAGATATTTTGGATGAAAACCGGGAGGCTTGTGACTGTCCCATAGACTGCCAAGTAAATTACACTGTCAAGGTCCAGAAAAGTATGAAAGACATCGTCAGAATAGTCCATCTGCCATCAGTGGTTCAATGGTAACGTTATGAAGCGCCGAGAATACTTTTTGTACGCGAAGAAAACAAAAATAACGACTTTATTCAACAATTTGTCTTCTCTGTGTCTCTCTGCATCACCGTAGCGCCATTTTGGAGAATATCCTCTGAACGCAAGCAGCGTACGCTATTCTGTGTCAGCCGCGACACAAGGATACGTTTTCTGCGTGTATTTACCCTTTGATTTGAACGAAAACAGCGCATCCGGCTGACACAGAATAGCGTACGCTGCTTGCGTTCAGCGCATATTCTCCAAAATGGCGCTACGGTGATGCGGAGAGACACAGAGGAAACGAATTGTTGAATAAAGTCATTATTCTTAGTATGTTTCTTAAATACCTGGAAACATATTATGGTATTTTTATGCTTTAGTAGAGTCAAAAACTTACATACAGCACCTTTAATAACAAAGCACAAGTGTTGCATTCTCATTGTCGCCACATGGGGCGCTGCAGCATCATTAGTCTTCTTCTATGGTCTGTTTTCTCCGGGTATTTTTCGGTCTTAAGCTTACTTCTTAAGCTAAACACAGTAATCGATTCATTAGTGTAAGGCAGTTTAAAACCGGTTTAGAAGTTCGTCTGACATTAGAAGTACAATCAGAGTGCAAAAATAGATCTATATGAACAAAACAACACACGATGGCCTTCTCCGTGTTGACAAATGACATGTGAAGCGTGACATGTGAACTGAACAGCTGATCTGCTGAAGTAAATCCCGTCAGATCTTAATGACAGACCTCAGCATCTACAACAAACCCACAGAACAGGAGGTGCACTCGTACACGGCTCTCAGCGATCGGGAAAAACACACTTTTATCCTCAAAACACACACGAGCACACAGATGTCACACCGCAAAACACATGTTCAGGTAATATGGCATCTTCAAAAAGTTTCCTTGGAGAATCCTTCAAAATATGACAACAACAACAACCTACCTTTCATATTTTATTTAGGAATAAACTCTTTTAAGCTTATAACTTCTCAGTGTTTTACTACAAAACTAACCCGTTTTTAATCGACTTGCCTGGTTAAATAAATAAACAGGGTTCCTGAAAAAAAAAAATCAATTAAGGAGCCACTGGCTCCTATAAGAAACAAATTTAGACGCCAGATGATTTTTTTCTAGGTGCCATGGAATACATGTGTTTTATTTATTTTTATTTTTTAACACTTTAACATTTCAGTCATACTGCATTGTGTTTATGTCTCCCCTCCTTTTACAGCATCAGCATTTTAAGGTTCACTTAAAATAGGAACTAAACAGTCACAAAGAATTGTTTATTGCACAGAATCTGTGCCAATATCACATCACTTGGCCATCGAGTGTAGTTTGGGCTCCTCCTCAATGCATCTTATAAATGTTGTCATATGTCTTACACACATCCCATCTGTTTTTTATTCATTAGTAACATGAAATTATATCGGAGCTGTTGAATTTGATCTTTAGCTCCTTGCTTTCTTTCTTATGTTGACAACAGGTTAAGTACAAATATGAGCATGCAATATAGTACATATATTTAGCAAAATGCTCCTCTTTATAGTTATTTTGTCCAAACTGACTAATGAGCTTATGGACGCCAAATGGTTGTTCTGGGGTAAATATTGTTATGTGATATTGTTTACACGTTTTTTTTTCACAGTTTGAAACAATAAATGAGTGATCAGTTCGATTAGGTTGTACTGTATCATATAATATACCTTTTGATGTCCATTCATGTTTATTTCGTACTATAGTAGTAAAGAGAAAGATACGATGAGTTCACATGCCGCTTGAACTTAGGCTCTAAAGCGATCGCTCATGCCGCATTAAAGAGCGCCAAAACCGTATTTATTGTTTGCATTTCATAAAGAATTTGGCAGAATTTTAAAGCTGATAGCCTACTTTGTTTATTAAAAGTTAACAAAGCTTATTGTGATTATTGGACGGCAAGTGCGCTACAAATAATATGAAGTTCACGCATTTACAGAACACATATAGACTAAAGATCTTGATAACAAGAAGCCATATTAGTATCAGTTATAAATGAGAATTGTTAACGATATTGTTCATGTCCACACAGCTGACAGCTCTTTACCTGTTGTAGTTTGTTCAAGTTGTGCACGAAATAGACACTGCTTTTCTGCATTTATCAGGAAATTTTAATTCTGAAAGTGAACTAATCATTTAATAGAGTCCGTTTATTGAGGCAGTATAGTATCTCAGTATCTCAATAAATATGCAATTAAAGTCAAATCATAATTGTGCTTGTATTTGGTTCCTCTTCCAATAAGGTTTTATGTCTAGAGGTGCAATAGACACTATTGTGTATGTAACTGGCTTCAGCTCACCAGAACCTTCAACCTGTCCTCGTCTCATTGGAGAATTTGTTTTAGATCCTGGCATCCCAATCAGACTTCTTAACTTGCCTAAATTGCCTGGTCAACTTGGTTTGTAATTTACTAGTAACCATACGATCACCAAACGGTTCTTTTCAGCAGGGGACCTAGTATGGAGTGGCGACTATGCATTAAAACATGAACTAGCTGGTTAAGTTTATCGGTTTATTGGGACAGAATGGTAGCATCCCAATAAAGATGCTTGTAAATGAAGTCAAATCATAATTGTGCTTGTATTCGGTTCCTCTTCCAATAAGCTTTATGTCTGGAGGTACAATAGACACTATTGTGTGCCTAACCCGGCTTCGGCACGGCAGAACCTTCAACCTGTCCTCGTCTCAGGCAGTTAGAGAAAAAGACTGAAGTCTTGTAAATGTTGGAGAATTTGTTGGCCGCGGCTCTCCGGCTTGGCTGCTGTTCCTGGCAGCTCGTTTCTCCATGTGGATCGCTTGTCACTTCTCCTGCTAATCTGCATGTGTTTCCAGCGAGACGTCTAGTACTGTAACGGCGGCCCGGGATCTGATTTTCACGAATGAGTTGTTGCTGTGATTGCCAAGTAATCGAGGTAAAGTTGCATTCATGCTGTTTGTCGTTTGTCGAATGACTCGCGTAGTTCATTTCACCTTTATCAGGGCTCCAGACTACGACTAAAAAGCTTGCACTTGTGACAAAAAAATATTAATTTGTGAGTAATATTTTTGCTGAGATCGCCACTGGCGACTATATAAATTTACATGTTATGATTTTAAAAATTGCATGTACACTACCAGTCAAAAGTTTTTGAACAGTAAGATCTTTAATGGTTTTCAAATAAGTCTCTTCTGCTCACCAAGCCTGCATTTATTTGATCCAAAATACAGCAAAAGCAGTAATATTGTGAAATATTTTTACTATTTAAAATAACTGCTTTCTATTTAAATATATTTAAAATTGTAAATTTACTTTTAAATGATTTCAAAGCTGAATTTTTAGCATCATTACTCCAGTCACTTCACTTTTTAACCACAAATTCTCGTCTTGCACTAGCTCTACATCCACGACTTCACGCATTGCGTAATCACGTTGGAAACGTCACGCACAGTTAGTTCTTCGTCTGTGTACTCCAGTTCAAAAAGGTAGCGTAGGGTGAAAAACTCCATCTCATTTTCTCCTCCAATTTCAAAATCGTCTGAAATTGTTGTTTTACCTTTTTTGACTTTATTTGCACGTTCGCTTTGTAAACACTGGGTCGGTACTTCCACCTACATTACGCATGACCTTTCCAACGTGATTACGTAATGCATGAGGTCAATCTAGTGCAAGACGAGCATTTGTGGTTAAAAAGTATATAACTTTTAATTTTTTTTTAGAAAATGACTGGTTGTTTCACTAGATAAGACCCTTATTCCTCGGCTGGGATCGTGTAGAGCCCTTTGAAGCTGCACTGAAACTGCATTTTTAACCTTCAACCCGTTGATCCCCATTGAAGTCCACTATGTGGAGAGAAATCCTGCAATGTTTTCCTCAAAATCCTTAATTTATTTTCGACTGAAGAAAGACAGACATGAACATTTTGGATGACATGGGGGTGAGTAAATTATCAGGACATTTTAATTCAGGAGTGAACTAATCATTTAACCAGCTACTTCACGCAAAAGCAACCTGCCAACTTTCCCCACAGTTCCCGTAATGAAACGAACAGTTTAGAGATCATGCGTATACCAATAAATTATGGAAGTTTGCTAGTTAAAGCTGCAGTCTGTAAGTTTTGCCTCTTTGGAGGCAAACCTCTGTTTGAAACCTGCAATTGCAGTTATTTGCTGAATTATCTTCTTTGTGTGGGTTGTGCACCGGCACGGCTCCTCAGCGCGGATTAATCTAATGTTTTAATGTGTGGCTGTCAGTCACCTCACTGGTGTGGATACTGTACTTCGGAATCACACATGATAAGAATGATAAGAATTTTCACCAGATATTGTCATCTGAACAAGTAAGTAACATGTCTGCCACTTTTGTTCTGACCAACTGAGGGAAAAAAAGCATTACAACACATTACAAGCGT